GGTGTTGCCAGTGATCTCTTCACTAGAATCCACAGTCACCCATGGAAGCAGCAGTCAAGAAATCAGTTGCATTTGGGTAAATTTGCTGTCAAATTTAAGCTTGTAATTTTAAAGTCAACTCTCCTAAGCCATGATATTTTCAGTTGCTGCCTGTGCTTGTGAAAATTAAACAATGACTAAGGAATATCCAAGAAGACTTGATGCCCTTCAATTAGTTTTTACAGAATACTGAAAATACCAAGGCAAAAGAACAAACCAATTTGTATCCAGAATGCCCTGTAGAAGCCAGGATGGCAAGACTTTGACTTACACAACTTAGTGCATGTGATCAGGAAGTGTCAAACTCTGGAGAAAGACATTGTAAAGTGGGGGATCAGGGGTAAAGTCTCTCAATGAGAGGAGGTGACACAGTGTCTACAACATGGTCAAGCCTTGTTAACTATTGTGAGGATGTGGGACTGGGTGGTGTGATCCACTTTATGGTACATAGGGATCCTGTAAATTGTAAGAAACATGACAGCATAACAAAATTTAGTCTATGACGCCATCCTTCATGTTCAGCCTCCCCAGGAAGCCTTCCCTGATCCTTACACCTGGGCTGCATCCTGTCCTATGGGCTCCCTAAGTGAGCTGGACTTCCCTAAGTGAGCACTGTACTAAATTACTCCTTTCACTGTCTTCATCTGCTTTCTGTGCCTCCTCGACTTGACCTGTCATCTGTGTAGAAAACTGGCGGGGTCTCTGCTTAGCATAATTTTCTCCCATTCTGTGGCCACTGGTGTGGCTCCTCCAGCCTGGTCAGGCAGATGCCACTGCCCCTCGGATAGTGACCCAAAGTCAAGTATTCCTCGTGGGCTGCTTGTATAGGAAGGGATTTTCAGAAGCCAGACACCAGCCTCCACTGCAGTGGCCAAGGTCTCTATCATCTGGCTGCCTTTTGCTGCCCTCAAGTGTCCAGTGACTGACTGCAGAATCCTTTGATTTCCACAACAGGGCCTGGAACAGGGCAGGGACTCAGGAAATATGGGTTGGCTCAGCTGTTTTTCAACTGCTTTTCCATTTCTGGTCCAGTGACTACTCCCATATAGCAGTTTGGAGGGAAGTCAGTCCAGGAGTGGGGTAAACTGTTGCAGAGGGTCTCTCTGGGAAAAGTAGCCTCCCCCAGGTGGTACCACCTGGGTCCCCTGGCACGTGTCCCTCCATCTCTGTACCAGGCCCTGCCTCCTGCCTGCCTGCTAGTTAGCACTGTTCCTAGGAAGAAATATCACATTGGGGGGGGGGGGGTGACGACAGTAATGCATGCCTATTTCAGTGCAGTGTCTTTTTCCTATGAAATACTGCTTATCTGCTAACCAAAAGGTTGATAGTTCAAACCCTTCAGCCACCTCACAGGAGAAAGCTGTGACAGGCTTGTGGGACAGACAGTTCTGTTCTGTCTCATAGTGGGTGTAGTTGGCACAACAGTGGGTTGTCTGGTTCTTTTATTGCTTTCTTTGCAAGTGTTAAGAAAAGGCTTAATGGGGGGAGGAAATTGTGAGACAATGAAAGATCGCCCCCCCCCCCAGAAAAAAAGCAAACTGGGAAGCTTAGGGAGGAAAATGTGTAACAATGAGTGAACAGAAATCCAAGTTCTGTATAAACTTCCATTAAAATCTAAAAAAAAAGAAAAAACTTCTCTATTCTTCCTCTTTCCACATCCCCTGCCCCTTCACCATGTACATCCCCCACACACACACACACATCCTTTACCCATGGCATAACCCTTGGAGAATGAGGTGATAAAGAAAACTGCTTCTGAAAGCAAAAATGTATTGCTGTTGCATCAACTGACTTATAGCTGAGTCTCTAGTGGGCTTTCAGAAGCTGTAAACTGCACAGGAAGAGACTGCCATCTTTCTCCTTCGGAGCCAATGGAGGATTCAAATCACCCTAGGTACCACCTGAGCATTAGCAGTGCGACTCCTGTGGCCTATGCTGCCCGAGTTATCATAAACCCAAGCTACGAAAATTTGCCCTTCTATTATTGGGGGGAGGAGGGGCAGAAATGCCTATCAACTTTTATTAATTTTTTAAATTAATTTTAATTAAAGTTTACAGACTTAGGGTTTCCAGTCATTCATTGTTGCACTTTTCTCCCTACCAACCCCCTCCCCAAACCCTCTTCTCCTTGAAAAGAAAGACTTTGTTATACAATTCCTCTCCCAAGTCCACTCCACTATACAGCCTTCACTCTGGACTTCTGTAATGACAATACCCATTCATATATCCCTTTTAAACAGTTCTCCCTCATCTGTTTCAATGCAATATGCATCATTCCTCTTCTGTCTTCCCTCAACCCTGATGTCAGTCCCATTTTACAACAGTGGCCCTATGCAATATTTGTCCTTTTGTGACTTTCTCCCAGTGTCATGTCCTCCAGGGTCATCCATTTTGCGTATTTCATTAGTTCCTTGTTTTTCCAATGCTGCACAGTATTCCATTGTGTGAATATACCAGAGCTTCTCTATCCATTCATTTGATGGGCAACTCTTAATAATTTTTAAAAAGCATATATATTTGCTAATGTTTTTCAAATGTACAATTTATATCATCAAAGATTACCAAGCAAATAGATTTTCCACCCTCTTAGATTTTATGATGCCCAAAATGTACCCCTGTTCTTTTTGTTATTGTTAATTCTTCTATGCTACCCCTTCCTGCCTTGTGAACTTGATCCATGGGCAAACACTAATCTTGTACAGTTGATTATGCTGGGAGAACAAACAGGTTTGTCCTGGAGAGGGTGAAGCCAAAATGCTCCTTGGAGTCAAGAATTCTGAAACTTCATCTGACACTTTGGGCATGTTGCAAGGAAGGACTGGTCCTTGCAGAGGGACTTCATGTTTGGGAGAATGGAGGGACGGCACAGGAGAGTAAGACTCTAGATGAGATGGATCGATTCTGTGAGTGGAGTGGTGGGAATGGTTGTGTTTGAGACAGTGAGGTTGGCACAGAACAGCATTTAGGGCTCTTGTACGTAGGGTCGCTATGAGTCCCAAGCGACTCGACAACACATAACGCCTCCCTGGGGTTATTGTTGCACATGTCCACTTTAGTGAATAAATGTATCATTATACATCACCATTTATGTCTGTTGCCAGATTTCCCAATGTCCGTAGGGAAGCTCATTACTTTGCTAAATAATGACTTCTTTCCTTAACCCCCCTACCCTTGCTAACCACTACTAGATATTTCTTACGAGAAAGCAAAAAAGCCCAACCCACTGTCCTGAAGTCAATTCTGACCTGACTCACATCAGCTCACCACTAGGTTTCTGAGACTGGAAACCTTAACAGGAGCATGCTGCTTCATCTTCTGATCAGAAGCTGATGGGCTCAAACTGCCATCTTTTCGGTTACCAGTCCCAAAGTTGTACATCTGAAATTTTTTACACATCACTTTTCTGTCAAGTCAGGAAAGTTTAAATGTCAATTCTGTCAATTGCCACTACAGAAGGTGGGTAAATTTCTAAGTCAATGAGAATAAAATCTCTCGTATTCCCCTCCACGCCTGCACTTTCCAAACCATTCTCAAGCCAGACAGTCCGTGTGTGGTGGGGTAGATGGTGCTCCACTGGGTTTTCAACAGGGAGTTTTTGGAAGTGGGCCTGAGGCCTTTCTTCGGCCTCTTCGTGGACTCAGCCTGCAGAACCATATTTAGGGTTTCAGTAGCAGTCTGTCCCCAGCATTGCCACTCTATCCCAGGAACGAAAGTGCTAAGAAGCTCCTACTGGGCTCAGAGTCCCTGTCTCCCTTCTCAAGTAGATATCTCCAATCAAGACTGTGAGCTATAAAAATTTATTAGGAGGCAACTTGTAACAGAACAGCCACGAGGTATTGATTTCTATTCACAGACAGACATGAAGGAAGCAATGCACATAAGGCAACTGTCAGTGAGAAACCTTGTTCTTCCAGGACACGGATAAGCAATGGCCTTAGGTGTCAGCCCCAAATCAAAGCCTGGCTCCACCTCTTAGAATCTGTGTGCTCCAAAAAAAAAAAAGAATCTGTGTGCCCTTGGGCAATTTAAACTTACTTCTTGTGTTGTAAAGATGGCTATTATGTACCGTGCTTAATTATAAGAAAGAATTTAGATACATATAAAATGCTTAGCATGTACATATACCTACTATTTTAAATTCTATTAAACCATAAACCTGATGGGAGCAATGATAGTGTGAATGAAAACGTCACTCATCACCATCAACTCAGCTCATTTGCTGACCCATCAGCCAGTTTCCAGAGGCTGTAAATCATACGGGAAGAGACTGTCCATAATTCTCTTGTGGACCTGCCTTTTAAATTGCCAGCCCAACTCCCTACCAACTAGGCCAACAGAGTCCCCTGAATGAAGAGGTAGTACTGACACATAGTAAAGGCTCAATCAGTGGCATATGGTACTGAATACCTGTCAGAAAGGAAGCTGCTAAACTAGGAGAAGCAAGAACATAGGAATGTTGAGCTCAGAGGCCAGGGCCAAGGCAGACCTGAGACAGCCAGAGGCCCCTGTTAGAAAGTCAGGTAAATAATTCCTTACATAGCAATAGAGGGGAGAAACCAGAGGTTCTATTTTCCAGTTGTGGACGCTAAGCTTCTAAGCGGACTTCCCCATCCTAGAAGTCCAGTGACAAAGGGGCAGAAAGCATCTCTCAGAGCCCAACTGAGATACGAGGCACATGATGGTCATGAGGCTAAGTGGGGCTGAAGGGACTGGACCCTCCCCAAGACATCCCAACTTCCACGCTGAACCACCTGCTGCTTCCCGAGCTCACAGGAGGGGCAAAACATGTTTACAAGAGGGCAAGTGCAAATGAGCAAAAGTGGGCAGATTATAAAAATAGCTATCTATGGATTTTGTCACTCGTCTGTCCAAGGTACATAGGAAATCTGTAAGAGGCTCCAGCAGGTAACAGGGAGAACACAGACACTTGGGGGAAAGGTGTTCTGGGTGAGCCACCATGCTCAGCAGCCTACTTCCTGGACCCAGTTCCAGGCATTGATGAAGAGCTGGAGCCAGGGAGAGGTGGTCAGGGCATCAAACGGAGGGGGCCGCCATGCCCACTGCCAAGGCCTCACAGCCCGCTCAGGGTGAGGCATGAGTGCCAGGTGGCGGCCATCGGGAGAGCAGACACCAGCCACACCTCCTGGGGAGCCATTGGGATTCATGGGGTACTGCTCTGTGGGGTTCCCAGCATCATCCGCCCAGTGTAGTGGAGCCAAGCCCTTGGCCTCCATATGGGCTTGAAGTTCTGGAGAAGAAAACGCCATGTAGCCTGGAAAGAGAGGAGAGAAGTGAGAGTAAAGCTCCTTCAAGGCCTCTGCCCAGCCATCCCGAGGCCTCCCGATTCCAGCCGGCCCTGACCTTCCCCGTGGGCGCTCCACACGGGCAGCACAGCGCCCTCCATTCCTCGCAGCATAATGGCGGGTCCAGGCCCCACATGCACACTGGCCCAGCGGGACTCGAAACGCCCAGATAGGTTGTGGCGCAGCAGGAGGCCTGGTGGGGCGGGCCAGGAGTCACAGCCAGTGTCCCCGGCCTCCTGGCTAGGGTCTCCCCCGACCCAGCTCAGCAAAGCCAGCAGCTGACAGCCATTGCACACACCCAGGCTGAACGTGTCTGGCCGCCTCCGGAAGCGTCTCAGTTCAGTCCCAGCCTTTGGATGAAAGGTCACGGCAGCTGCCCACCCTAGGAGGGAAAAGGGAAATTGAGGTGAGACCTAGAAGGCCCCCAGAAAGAAAGGAGAGGAAGGGGTGACTGCCTTCTCTCCCCCATGTCACTCCTGCACTCACTGGGGCTCCCCATCTGCTTGGCTCAGGGCAAGTGCAAGGGGACCAATGGGCTTATCTGCTTAAATCCAGTGCTGCCTGCACTTGGGTCTGAGATGGTCCATAGCCAGTTTCTGGTTTGGTCAGCAGAACATTTTAAAAAATCTTTGGTTGCGCAGACATCTACTGTTGCTGTTAGCAGCCATCAAGATGAATTTGTCTCACAGCAACTCCACGTGTAAAGAGCTGCAGCACACAGGGTTTCCGGCTAACCCTTGGGCACCAGGTCACCTAACCGGTCTTGCAGAGCTCCTCTGGATGGATTCAAACCACCAACCTTTCAGCCAGCAGCTGAGTGCTTAGCTCTTTGTGTCACCCAGGGACAGATGCCAAACATTTAAACATACTGCCACAGATATCCTTCATTTTGGCTTCTCTTGAAAAACCAGACAGATCTGAACCTGCTGAGACAACTTTCCTGCAGGACAATCTACTGGAGCCGAGAAGGCGGCACCTCGAGACAGGCCACATGTCCTTCAGGTGGCAGACCACCAGCCCACCCGCCTCATTTCAATCCTCTCTGTCCGCATCTGGCCCGAACAAATGCCCCTACTCTCTTTCCAGGAAGCAGGGACCTGAGGAGTGCAAGGGAAGGAATGAGAGGAGCCCAGTCTGACCTTTTGCAGAACCCAGAACATCTGCGTAGCTGAAGCCACCCACGAAGGCCACGCCCCGGAAGGTGTCCAGTCTAATAGCCCCAGAGCAGAGATCCTGCATGGTGACATCCCACACCTGCCGGGACAGGGACAAGGTGTCAGAGGACACAGCCTGATTGAACTACAGCACTGCCCTCAGCTCTTCTGGGTCACTCTGCTTACCTCAAACCCAGCAGAATGGAAGGCATCGGCCATCTCCCTATCTCCATTACTGCCCTCCTCTCGCAAGATGGCAACTCGGGGGGCTGGACCACCTGGAGGAAAAGAAATGAGGTCTCTGGACCAAAGGGCTTCTCTCCTACACCAACCCTGCTCCAGTCCCAGACCCCAAGACCACACTCTCATACCAGGCTCCTGAGGCACAGAAGCTTTGGGAAAGGTGGGGGGCAGGAAGTAGCTAGGCCCTGTCCGCTCCCTTAGGCTCCGTTCCTCCTCTGCCACACAGTGAGGATCTGCCTGTAGGCGGTCCAGCTGGAAGCTCGTCTCCTCCCAGAGGGCTCGCAGGTGCCCAACAGGCTCCTCCAGAACCACAGTCCCATTCACGGACATGTGGACCTAGGAGAGGAGTAAACTCAATCAAGGCACAATGCTGCCCGCCCACCAGGCTGGCCAGGAGGTGAGCCACCCCACCCCACACCTCCCTATCAACTGCCCACTGCCTCACTTCCTCACCACAGCATGGGGCCCACCATCGCTGGTGCGGCCCAGCTCCAGGCACTGCAGGCCTGCATCCCGGTAACGCTTCAGCACCTGGGCTAGGTCTGCCTCCTGCACCTCCAGCACCAGGCCTGGTTCCTCAGCAAACAGCACAGGCAGTGCTAGGGGAACAAGTAGGGAGGAAGTAGTGGTATCAGGGTGTCTAAAGTGTTGCCAGGGACATGAACAGAGTCAGGAAGATTAAGGTCAGTGTCAAAAGTGAGAACCAGACAGGAGTGGGATCAAGTTATGTCAACCCAGGAGCTGTAGGATGGGTCCAGTGAGGAACAAGGTGGCGGTACCTAGTTAGTAAACAGAGAGGACAGGATGGCACACAGGGAAAGGGAGACAAGCCTTTCAGGAAAGAGGGTCTACTCATGGGATGTGGGGGTGGGGGTGGGGGTCCAGGCCTGAGCCTAGACCACAGGTCCTCACCATCAGCCCCCGGAGCAGGCACGTCCACCACTATCCCACAATTCCCAGCAAAGGCCATCTCCAGCAGGCAAGTGACAAGGCCTCCATCACTGACATCATGGCCTGAGCAGAGGAGGCGGTCTGGAGATAGGAGAGAGAAAGGTCAGCAGGCCAAGGCTAAACCTGATGTCCCATCTCACCTTCTGGACACTCTGGTGCGGTGTGCTAGATCATGGATATGGAGAACCAGAGGGAAGGGCCTCAGACCTCTCTGCCTCCACGCTCCATGCTCACCTGCAGAATGCCAGCCTCTTTCATGCCTACCACCATGGCCCCATCTCCACCATGGCTGTACTCACCTTTCAGCAGCCCCTGGGTGACGGTGAAGGCACGCACCAAGTTCTTAGGAAGGTCCAGGTCAGGAGGCTGCTCCCCAAGCTGGGAGAAGCACTGGGCCAGAGCAGTGCCCCCAAGGCGGTGCTGCCCAGGGCTCAGTGGCACATACAGCAGGCAACCTGGGGAGACAGGCATGTGGCGAGGCAAGGCCAGTTCAGGAGGAAGCACCAGCGCCATCACTCTTAGCCTGTGGGGAGCAACCACCCACGCCCCAGTGCAAAAATAAGGGGTTCAAAGATAACAATGTAGACTCCAAGCCAAAGCCACACTCTGAACACAACACAATGAGGAGATGGGAAGAACCGTACCTCTTCCACCAGGATGCTTGAGGTCTGGGGTCACAGTAGCTGTGATGTCCGGACACACAGCATAGGCTGAGATGACCAGCGACCCTGCGGAGCCAAGAATAAGACAAAGCAAAGGGGAGCCCCAGCAGCCCTCACTCCTGTGCCCCGCAGGCCTCACCAGGAGCCAATACTGTCTCAGTGCCGACTCGGGCAGCCATGCTGAGGGAGTCCTTGCCACCGTCTATGGCAATGCCCAGGGTTGCCATCACTGACACCATAGCTTCACAGGCATCAGCCAGAGCAGCACCCTCTCCCGGGAGCTTGGCTGCCCACATCCAGTTCCCACTGCACTTCACGTCCTGGGAGACGGCATGCGTGAGGGGAGAGAGAGGTGGAGAGTTGAGTACAGCAGAGGGACTGGGTGGTCCTGAGCAGGAAGGATGACAAGGCAAGTGGACAATGGAATGGCACCATCCCCAAGGCCCAGGGTTCCAAGGCAGGTGCTGGAGTACTCACCCGGAGGTCAGTGACCAGAGCAAACACCAGGTTAGTGAGGGCCTCTGCCACGGCCAGCCGGGCAGCAGCCTTGGGGTCCAGCAGGCTCTTGACTGGTTGCTCCCCCACGGCTGTAGCCGCACCCACAAGTTCCTGGTGACTCAGTGCCACAACTGCCACGTCTGCCAGAGGAGTCTGCAGCGGTCCGACACACTGCTGCTGGGCTACCAGGCCACTGACAGAGCGGTCCACCTACAGGACCAGGAAGGGCTGGTGAGGGCCATGGGGCAGGGAAAGCATGTCCTCCACTCCACTCTGTGCCCCTCAGAAGCACTAGGCGGCCCTGTTCTCTCAGAAGAAAGATGAGCTCAGCTCAGAGATATGTACAAGGGCAGCCCAGAAGGAAGAAAGCTGTGCTGCCCTAGGCCCTTCCCCTCAGAATGGTCCCCAAGGACAGATGGCCAAAGTAAGGGATGTGAAGGGCTGGAGGTAAAGCAGAAAGGACCTTGTTGGTGAGGTAGCGCTTGCTGGCCACAGCTGGCAGCCTCAGAACCCGATCCAGTGCCAGGCGTACACTCAGCCCCGGGGGTAAGGTCAGTGGTTGCAGCACAAGGCAATTCCTCTGTAGGAAGAAGTCCTACAACATGGAAACAAGGGCAGGTAAGCCCCTGGAAGAACGGGGTGACATGAAGAGGGCAAAAGGTCATCTGCAGGGCTGGGGGTGAGGAGGGAGAATCTTGTCCCAGCCCCATTTACCTTACGAGGCATCTTGCCCAACACCCACTCCAGCTCTAGGTCTACAAGAGTCGGGGGAGACCCTACAGGGGCATCGCCCTCACCGTTTCTTCTCACAGGACATTCTCGATCGTCCACCAGTACAATCTGTATCATAAGACACAGAGGGAAGGAGTGCAGAATCCCAGGAGTTAACCTCCAGGAATTGGGAGAGACTCTTTCCACCCACCTCTGGCCTGCCCTGCTGAGGCTGTATCCCATCCTCCTCAGCTCACCTCTAGCCCCTGACATTCTCCCTTGAGCCCTAACCCAGGCAGTTGAACCTCCTACTGATCACCGGGTTAACATACTCTCCTGTCTCCGGTAATAGTGCCCACAAAGCAGGCTGGGCAGCGTTCCCGGGCACTGACTCGACTCAGGAAATCCTGGTGGGGGGCCCTCAGCAGGAGCGCATTTGACTCCTGGTACTCAGCACCCCAGATTTCCAAGGCATTCAAGGTTGGGTCCCCAAGCTGCACAGGCATGGAGTGGAGAAAAGGGGATTAGTAGGCATACCTGAGTATCAAGAAGTTGCTCTGAATAGGAAAAACATGGGACCTGGTGGAGCCAGCTGAGTGGGGGAACACGAGACAAACCTGGAAGCGACTGGTGTAAATGACAGCCCCAGCTGGGTCACTCAGCTCCTTCAGGACATTGCCTGGTGAGAACATTGCAGGGAAGTTGGTGAACTGGCCAGTCAGAGCCAGGCACACGCAGGACGGTTCTACCTTCAAAGGAGTTCTCACCGTGCTACCACCTCACCCACTTGAGGAAGTCTCCTACCCTACCCTGAACCCTCCCAGAATGCAGAGGAGACAGGAAAAGGGGCACAGAGCCAGATGGCTATCTGACAGTCCTCAATGCCTCTTCCAGAAACCAACCCTGGCAGGAGACCAGGGCAGCCCCATCCCTCACCATTGCCACCAGCACCCTGGTCATGGAGGCTGCAGATGGGGTTTCCCTCTGGGGCCTCCACACAAGCCCGGATCACACGGTTCATCTTTTGTTCCATCTCTGGGTCTCCTCGCTGCACAGCATCAAAGTCTAGTTCACTGGTGTTGTCTCCCTGCACCTGGGGGCATAAAAGGAAAGGCAGAGCTAAGGCTGAGACTAGGAGCTCAGACACTTCACCAAGGGGCCCAGTGACACCACACATACTTTTGGCTATTCTCACTCACCTGTACCGATGACGCAGCTCCACCTCCAACTCCAATCCTGTACACAGGACCCCCCACCTTCACTACCTGCATGCCTGCAAGGAAGGAAGAAGTGCAGAACTGAGCACAGGGGAAGCCACCAGCAGGAGCCATTACAGCAGGAAGAGTGAAGATAAAAGAGAGGTGCTCTTCAGCCAGCAGGGTCTCTAAGATTCCCAACTGGGCTGACTGGAGAGTGAAAAGGCACAGCTTCTATGGAGGACAGTGATCAAAATTACAAATGCACATCTTCTGATTAGGTAAATATACTGAGGACAAACTTGTTCATGTTATTTTATGTTAAAAGATTATTAAATACTGTGGCTTGTTTTTAAAGCAAGAGAGTAGAAATAATCTAAATATAGCAGCAGAGAACTGATAAAAAATATATGGTCCAGCCACATAATGCAACACCAAGTCACCAAAGAATTTAATAGTAGTATGAAATGATTTTCAAAATATATTGCTACAGGAATCCAGAATTAAGGTTGCATAGAGAAGTGTACTCGGGGTGGGGGGTGGGGGGCAAGGGATGTGGGAATTGTATACTAATGAAGGAATTTTTTTTCTTTTTCTCTTCGGAGGGGGAGCGAGCTGGTGGGGAGGGGTGGGCAGGGAGAAAAATGCAGCAATGAATGAATGGAAATCCAAAACCTCTGTAAATGTCTATTAAAATTAATAATAAAAAAGAAAAAGAATTGAAAAAATATATATTGCTAAGTGTGTGTGTGTGGGGGAAGCAAGGTGCAATGTAAAATCATGTACAATACCTGCTGCTACCAAGATGGCACTTACTCAGAACAGCTCTCCTCGGAGCCCACCACTGGGCTACCAGGGCTGTAAACCTTTAGGAGACTGCACATCTTCCTCTCTGAGCAGCTGGTGAATTCAAACTGCTGACTTTTCAGTTAGCAAACCAATCCATTATACTTAGATAATTGTAACATTACAAAAGCAAGGTTTATACACTGAACCCCAGCAACAATAGCAAAGTTCAACAGGCCAGCAAACAGCAAATGTTGGCAAGGTTGTGGAGAGACTGGAACCTTTATTCACTGTTGGTCAGAGTGTAAAATGGTGCAGTCATGACGGAAGGCAGTCTGGTACTTTCTCAAAAAGTTGGAAATAGAAATACCATTTGACCGAGCAATTCCACTATGGGGAATATACCCTAAAGAAACCAGAGCCACCATTTGTCTATATGCATAAACATTTGTTTATAAACATACCCATGTTTATTGTTGCATTATTCACAAGAGCAAAGAGATGGAAGCAACAAATCAACAAAGTGCCAATCAACAAATGAATGGATAGAAAAACTATGGTATATTAACACAATGGAATATAACACAGCACTGAAAAACAAAAAACTCGTAAAACATTGCACAATATGGGTGACCCTACAGAACATTAGGCTGAGTGATATATCACAGTTACAAAAGGACAAATACTGCATACCACCACTTACAAAACAGGACTGACATAGGGGGTTGGGGAGAAACTAGGGAAAGAGGTGAGAGATAATCAACTGTATTAGAATAGATAAAGAACTGATTAAAAAGAATATATGATTAGACATTATTTGTATGACAACAATCCAGAATAAGAGGTGCATTGCAAAAGTGGAGTGAGTGGGTGGGAGAAAATTGTGCAACGATGAATGTGTTGGGTTTTTTTAAAAAAAAGAAAGGAAGCAAGAAAACTGAGAGAGGGAGAGGGAGGAACATATGCAACAGTGAATGAATAAAAATCCAACCTTTCTATACATTTTCATTAAGATCATAATAAAAAAAGATTTATACACTGAAAACTACCAAACATCTTAGCACGTCTGAACAAATGGAAAGACATCCCATTTGGAAAGACAAATAGAAAGACATTATATTTTTCATCCCAATGGAAAGACAGGTCAAATGACTTAATGTCGTAAAGACAGTAATAACCCCTAAGTGATCTACACCCAATGCTTCCCTGCTAAACCCCAGCTGCCTTCAGGAGAAATGACTGGAAGAGGTCTATATTTGTTCCCATCCCAAAGAAGGGCGACCCAACTGTGTGTGGAAACTACAGAACAATATCATTGATTTCACATGCAAATAAGATTCTACTGAAGATTATCCAAAAACAACGAAGAGTACATCAACAGAGAACTGCCAGAAGCCCAGGCTGGGTTTAGAAGGGGTTGTGGTAATAGGAATATTGTTGCTGATGTTAGATGGATCTT